AATGAAGTCGCCCCGGAGCGTCAATTAATTTTTATTGTTGTTTTTATTTTATTTTTATCGTTGTTTTAATAAAATATTTCTATCGTCAAAAAAAAACTACTTATAAATGAAATAATAATATGTTTTTGATAATTCTCTTGAGGGATTCTATGCGCATTTCTTCCCAATTAACCGTAAGCGTCATCATCTGTACAGGAGCATCTCTTTTGTCGATTCGCTCGTTGAATTCTAAATTTTTTGCTTCAGTAATCGGGCATTTCCAGCAAGAGCTTGCCAGTTCGTTACCCGAGGCATTTCAAAAAGTTCCTGCTTATTCTGTAGACTCCGTTTCGAAGAAATTAAAATAATTCCTTTGAATTAAACGCGACCAAATGAATTGGAAAAACGTACACAATATCAACAGAGGGAAATGAATCAACCGTTTTCTTTTAAAAGTACGAATAGAGGAGAGTAGAAGACACTAATGAGGGACGTTTCTTCCGACGTCTATTCCGATGGGATTTTTTTACTCTTTTGATTCAAACACATTCAAATTGCCGATGAATGCTCTTTTCAGTAAGCGGATTATGTAAACAGGCTTCGTTCGCACCTTTTCAGAAATTTAAGGATTCGAGAATGTTCCTTTTCAGTCTTTGGATGGGGAATTTCGTTTGAAGCAGGTAATTTTTTTCGCGAGTATATTCGAATGGGCGGAAATACATTCATTCGGAATTATAATAATTGATGATTCATGAAATAATAACATATTTCGGAGGTTTATGACGATAATACATTCGAAAAGCTTCTACTGTGTTCTTTCATTCATTGGGGAAAGATTGTCCCCGTTTGGCCAATATACAATATAGGGGTTTGAGCAAGAATCTTGATGTAGTCGACACTGAAGTTTTACTAATAAGTTTATACCTGAACTCAGGTGAAATTATAAGTCATTGAGTAGGTGAAAAGACATATGATTCAAATTGTTAATTTATAATATTTATAAAGTCGTTGATATGCAATAAAAAAAAAGAGTTGGAGACAATATGGATCCCTGGGGAACACCAGCGTTGATGATAAAAGTATTCGAGAGATATCAATTGACAGCCACTTACAGAGAACAACTATTTAGTGAAAATCTGACAATGAAGTCCAAGAAAACTGCAATATTATAATCAATCACTTGGATTAATATTTTCGTTCCATTTAATATGGTGTAGCATATATTTATATTAGAATAACTGTGATAGATCACGTCGGAAACGGTTCGGTATTCAATCATCTAAAAACATCTATAATACAAATACCCAAAAAATGTCGATGAAAAACTGATTTTTTCGTCCACAAAAAAATTATTTTCGTTTAATATCTATTATACATCTCGTAAAGAAAAAACTCTTGCTCGGAATTATTCGAGATGAATTTCCATGATTGTTTCTCTGAATGAAATTTTCTGTAATCAAGTTTTCTAGAATTTCGTTATGATTTTGAATCTAGGCAAGTTCTTTGCGCTGCAGTTTTTGTGCTGTAAAAATAACTAGTTATATTCCGTTTCAATACTAGATATTATCAACGAATCGGGAATGAGTAATTCGATTTTTCGTCTGGCAGGTTATGTGTATATAGATTCGTTCATTTCGTTGGGGCCTCAAGATGAAATCTCTACGCAATCTCATAATAGCAATGAATGGTGTTTTACCTAAATTAAAGTATTAACCCATTTTTTTTTTCATTTTGTATTTTTCTAAGGAATTCTCTATGCTCTCACTGACATACTTCTGACAAAAGATGATTTTTCATTAACCCCGCTTCAGTTGATATTTTTCGTTGTGTGACGGCCTCTTCTGGAGTTAGATCATTTATACTTTGAACTAATGAACTGCAGTAGAAACATTACCCTCTACAATACTGGGCACAACAAATCCCATCACTCTGTAACTCTTGAACTGCTATATACGATTCTGAAACCAGTTCCGATCGATTTGACTAACAACCATGGTACCAACAAACAGCATTCATTCACCGGTTATTTGCATGTCCCCATGCAGAATTTTGGTTCTTTTCTTTTTATTTTTTCCTCTCGAAATACTCTGCTCGGGCACTTCGAGGTACAGCCCGTGTACCTGTCTTAATTTATTGATTTCCCATATTGAAAAACCGTAGGTAGTCCCCTATCGTGCGAGGTTCGATCGTGTGAGGTCGTAAGTGTACAAACAAATTTCAAAAGGGGATCTTGTTCTCTAGAAATGTTTCTAATACCCCCTTTTTTAATTTCAGCCGTAAAATTAACGGCACTGGGTTCGAATTCGTGAACTGAACCGGCTCACAGACTATACGGTATGTTGTGGAATCTCTCGTCTGTGTACACTGTGTATCGTACATATACATTGTAGAACGTTTGGCCCACATACGTGAAACAATTCCAAGTATTGTGTTATATAGTTTTCATTATGGCTGTAATAGTTGCTGTATTAGTTGAATTATTCTTGAATTACCATATACCATATATGAATGTATTCAACAAACAATCCACTGGAGAACCCATAGATTTCAAAAATTGCCTACAAATGGACGACGATTGATTAAAAAATATTACTAGAAGTAGTGTGACAGGTAATTACGAAACCAAACACAGTTATAAGAGACGCAGTTAGTAAGAAAGATTAACTATTGCTTTGAAATATTTGGTTCGCACGGAAAAATATCTTTGTAAAATTACAGGACCAAACGTTTACAATTTGCGACCGATGTTTAGTACTGTGATTATATAGAATGATTTGAAGTAATTAAAAATTACATAATAATGTTACATGTCTAATTTATGAATAACTACAGACCAATGGATTTAAAAAACAAGGTGTCACATACTAAAGTATGCGAATTTCTGCTGTGATTTTCACTATGAAATGTAATGTTCCCATTTAATTTTACATATACATTTGAGCTGTAAATTTCCAGTGCGATATTTACTGAAAATTAGCCTCTGTGAATTTTATTTGTTCGTCATTTTTCATTATTATCTATGTTACTATAAACTTTATATATACCTGCTGTCGTCGAAGATATTTCTTTACACGCTTAATTATCTCTATTTCATTTTATTTTTAGTAATTCACTACCTGGGTTTTAGCACACATGGACAAATGATGTACATTTGATTGCCCTTGGAACGTTTTTGCTGAAGTAATTTTGGTTTTATTCTCGAGTTACTGAGAAAACAGCACAAGAACTTGTCACATCTGCTAAAATACGGGATTTGAAGCTTTTAAAAATCGACCACACTTCGAAGAAATTGTTGAAACTTTTTCAATCACAATCTCGGTTCGAGAATAAATCTGCTCGTTATCCGTGGGAAACTTCTTGATTGGAAGTTTCGAATCCCCTGACGTGTAGATAAGAATGGAGGTTTTGATAGAAAATTTGATTTTCAAACAAATGAAGGTTGTTTTTAATATTTTAGTAACAAACTATGAACACCAATTAAAGGGTGTTGATTGCAATGAGTCTGTGTGCCACAAATCTAAAAGCGGATTAATGAAATGTAATTAGTCAATTTCAAAATTTAACAATTTTGATACAGGTTTTAATAAGGTCTATTTTTATGCATAATCTTAACTTCCATCAAAGTATTTTTATTAAATGCCAAAAGTAAATGAAACAATTGTCAAATGAAATTACTAATTGAAAAAAAAAGTGAATAGTCTATGTGCCTATTTCTAATTTCAGCAAAATTAGTACATGACCACTTCGAATAATCAATTGATCTAAGTTTCTGAATCTAGGTACAATTTCTCAGCTTCCTTTTCAAATACCTGATTCTGCCATTCTTGCAATCTAATTTTCATTAAATGTTACGTGCTTTGCCGGTCTACAATCAAACCTTTTGTCGAGACCAAGTCCTGTCATTGCCTGTCAATCAAAACCGTAAAGACGTTTTGTCTGGCGGCAAATCTATATACGTTAATCTGTTTCTATATACGGGTTGATTCGCTTCGTTACTGGAAACCCCATATTCGATGAATCGTGTCCATGTTTACATTTTAAACTAGATCTATTTGTGAGGCGGATTCATTTTCTTTAATCGAATTCTACGACTACGGTGACCCACATAGAAGTGATGTGTCTCGTTGGTACGGGTTTTTTGCTGTTCGAAGGAAATTTTTCACCTTTAATATGATGATTGTCAGTGAACATCCTTAACTGACCATAAACAGTACACATACTTTGAAATTGACTAAATACAATACAGGGTTTATCGCTGCAACTTGTCGAATGACTGGTCGAGTTTCCCTCATATTTATGTTGTTTTTGCATTTCACTTGGCCTAAATCACGCTCCATCTAGCTCCCCTTCATCGGAATGGATTTCTTGAAGTATCTCCGGAAGAGCCGTAGCAATAACGTGGGACTCTCGTTTATTTTTTCAGTGATTCATATGGCTCTTGGCTACACGATATTGGATTCTTTTCCAGCTCATCAGGAATAAGGAAGCAATTTTGGAATGGTTCCAATAAAGTGTGCGATAATATTATGGTTGGACACGTGGCTTAACGAAAATATTTCCGTTTGATAGTAATATAGCGAGATTTTGAATGAATGTGAACCTAATATTGAAAGGATCTAGCTTGCACAGAGAATTTCATTAGAGCGACTGTTTCGTTTCTTTCAAATATGCATCTCATAAAATTTTGATTGTCCTAAAAGTATTCCCTTTTGAATATATTCGATAATTTAATTACATCGTGTAAGTTTTAATCGTTATTTGATAGTCAAACTCACTGAATATACTAGAAAACCATTGATATTTGTTCCGAATTTTTTGACGCCCCCTTCGTACTCCGCCACTGTGTTGGTGACAAACTAAACGAACCGAATTATTCTATATTTAATCTAATTCGGGGAACGTACTCAACAGACAGCTCCTAGTTAAAAAGACGAAGTGTAGATGAAGATTGACTGGTTCAATTGACAAGTCGCCGTCCCTGTTTTTCGTGATTACACTAACGAACTGTTTTGTTGTTTCAGGGTGCCATGGCGCAGCGGGATGTCCGAACAATGTCATCGTAGTTGAATCCGTCTGTAGCTATTGAAGAATCGTCCTCCAGGAGAATATTGCAGTCCCCAAGTGCATGATCTGGCCTACACCATGAAAGCCACAAGCTGCATTCTTGTGGTTTTAATACTGTTCACTCTAGAGACGCAGACCTTTACCGCCAGTTCGTCTTACATGTCCCTCGACCAATCAGAGATGCGATGCGAAAACATAACCGTTCCTATGTGCATGCACATAGGCTATAACATGACTCATATGCCGAACGAGCTCAACCACGACACTCAAGAAGAAGCCGGCTTGGAAGTGCATCAGTTTTGGCCACTGGTTGAAATCAAATGCTCCCCCGACCTCAAGTTTTTCCTCTGCTCCATGTACGTGCCGATTTGTCTACCGGACTACTTCCAGCCGTTGCTGCCCTGCAGGGATCTGTGCAGGAGAGCCAGAGCTGGCTGCGAACCTCTGATGACGCAGTACGGCTTCGTCTGGCCCGAAAGGATGGAGTGCGATAGATTCCCTGTCCAAGGCGGCGACACCATCTGCATGGACCAGCCCGCTCAACCGAAAGCTTCGTCTACAGCCAAACCACCTCCGAGCCGCACCAAACCCCTCCGACCATGTAAGGGTTCAAAAAACTGTCAAAATCCCCTGGCAGACGGAAAAAAGGGCGCAAGAGAGTGCAAATGCCAGTGTCAACGCCCTCTAGTCGCCATGGGGAGAGAAACAATACACATGGTAAACAGAAGCGTCGCCGGCGTCGCAAACTGTGCATTCCCGTGCAAGGAGACCTACTTCAACCCGGAGGAAAAGGAGTTCGCCAGTATTTGGATTACGTTGTGGTCCGGTCTATGCGCCGCATCCACCCTAATGACACTCACCACGTTCTTCATCGAAACGGAACGCTTCAAATACCCTGAGAGGCCCATTGTCTTCCTTTCGGCCTGCTACTTCCTAGTCTCGGTGGGGTACTTGATAAGGGTGGGATTCGGGCACGAGGAGGTAGCCTGCGAGGACAGAATGATCCGATATTCATCCACGGGTCCGAGCCTGTGCACGTTGGTTTTCCTTTTGGTGTACTTTTTCGGGATGGCGTCGTCGATTTGGTGGGTGGTGCTTTCGCTGACTTGGTTCCTGGCTGCCGGGTTGAAGTGGGGCAACGAAGCCATCGCCGGCTACGCTCAGTACTTCCACATAGCAGCCTGGCTGATCCCCACCTTCCAAACTCTGGCCGTGCTTTTGTCCGGTGCTGTTGATGGAGACCCGGTTTCGGGGATCTGCTACGTGGGGAACATGAACATGGATAACCTTCGAACCTTCGTCTTGGGCCCTCTCGTGGTCTACCTGATACTCGGTACTAGCTTCCTCCTAGCGGGATTCGTGTCTTTATTCAGAATAAGGAACGTCATCAAGAAGCAAGGCGGTGACGGCGCCGGATCCAAGGCCGATAAGTTGGAAAAGCTCATGATTAGAATCGGCATCTTCAGCGTGCTGTACACTGTTCCCGCTACCATAGTCATAGGCTGTCACCTTTACGAAGTGACCTTCCACGAGGAGTGGCTCCGATCTCTAGCTTGCACGTGCCCCAATAGCGACATCCTCCCCGTGAAAGTGCGGCCGCTCTATTCGGTCCTAATGCTCAAGTACTTCATGGCGCTAGCCGTCGGTATAACCTCCGGAGTGTGGATCTGGTCCGGGAAGACCTTGGACTCGTGGAAGAGGCTGTGGAGGCGGCTCTTTGGCAGGCCGGACTTCTCTGGTGCCAACGCGGCGCTCATCAAGAACAGAGCTTGCAAACCGCCTCCGCCGCAATATCTAGTAGCCGGACCGGGCAGCGCCTCTCTTTTGGGGCCCACGGGCAGTGTAGCCTCGGCGAGCCAGCACCATTTGCATCACCACGTGCTCAAACAACCCCCGTTGAGCCACGTATGACAAGCGGGAGAAGGGGCAGCGCCTATGGTGGTCAGTCATCCTCCTCAGGGTTCTGGACCTTCCTTAAGCAACTACGGGCCTATTTGAGTGACCGCCTGGGGGCCCCGCGATATGGTCACAGCTCTCTAGTCTCTGGTGGTGTCATCTGATTCGGCACTCGGTTTTTGTACAGACGGAATCGCTTTACGGATTTGTTGTGTATTTATTTATTATTTTTTGGGAAATTGATGTGTAAATTTCAAATTTGTGATTTGGGAATGACTCATACTCATGTCGAGGCCCTCGGTCATGTTCAGTAGAAAAGACACGATGTAGGTACGATCCTAGTTGTTGAATGTTACTGTGAGGCATATATTTGGATTCGAGACTCCATGGAGTCTTACTATATTTATCCCGGACACATTTACCTAGAACGAAAAAATTCCTGTCAGTTTTTATTTTTGGAAAACTGTTGAGTGAATATTTAGTAGTTCAACTTTTATAAAAACTATTTGGTATCGGTGGCCACGTGTTTTCTATATACCTGAACCAGAGTAAATCTCCACTGATTTATTATCTGTTGTGCAACGTTATCAATCATTCTGTCTCGACACTGCCTCACACACAAATAGTATAGGAATTGTCCCTTCCCAATTTTCGAAAGACGCGGATTAAGTGTCTGAATACCAAAAGTGATGAATAATATACGTAAATAGTTTTTACTTCGACTAGTACTCTTTTGTGGTAAACGTGCGGCTGAATGTGAATTTGATATTTCATTAGAATAATGAAGCAAGAGAAAATTGGAAATCAGCCATATTTGTGCCATAGTAACGTGTACAGGGGACCATCTTTTGGTGATTCTATTGAAATATCGAAGAGGGTGTATGTGGTGTGTGTTTTGTAGAAATAAATGTAAAAATATTAATATATTCTTGTAGTTCTGGCTAGCGTATAGGTTTTTATAATACATTGTTGATAAAAGTGGACCCCCATAACCTTTTGTACTGCTGTCTATTTAACCAATTTGTAAATATCACTGGCGCAACGAGGCATATTTGTCGAAGTCGGCTGCAATACATGTAATATTTATTGATAGAAATTATCATATGGATGTATAGAATAATAACATATGAATGTATAGGCGTCCTTGTTGGATGTGATGAAAAAAGTGATTTTTTGTATCCAGATGAGTCTTCTGTTGCTTTGGAGTTTTGAACGACCTCCCCACCAGCGTGGTCGGAAAAATCATCAAAGCAACAGTTGAGAATTATAGCTTTATTGAATGTATATGAGTGTAGAACATATCAAAACGACCGGAAAAAGGAATTTCGCACATTTTGTTTGTCTTTGTAAATTTTATTTCAGAAGGAATAAATTCACAATGAACATCAATGGTAATTCAAACCTATGTATAATCATGTAATTTTACATGATATATTTTACTGAAATGTATTTTTACATTTAAATAACGTGAACTGTTTCCGCTTGAGGAAGCTACTGTATAGCGAAACACGTGTCTCAGTTTTTGTAAAACCCTTTATAGTGAAAATCATACCATAACCTGTATTAATTAGTTGTAATTCAATTATTTTTATTTACTGGAAAATACTCGTGAAGCAGTTATGTTATTTTACACGATATATTTTACTGAAATGTACTTTTACATTACATTTTTACATTCAAACAGATTTCGAATACTTGCACAGTCGTGTGAATTCACACAATTCACATTTAAGATAATACAATTATTTTTATTTACTGAAAATAACGCAGTTGTGTAATCTTACATGATATATTTTACTGAAATGTATTTTTACATTCAAGTAGCGTAAATTGTTTACGCTTGAGGAAGCTATTGTATAGCGAAACACGTGTCGCGGTTTTTGTAAAACCCTTTATATAGAAGATCATACAATAAACTGTATTAAACAGTTATAATACAATGATTATTTTTATTCACCGAAAAATAACGTAGTTATTGTAATTTTACACGATACATTTTACTGAAATGTATTTTTACATTCGAATATATTTGGAATACTTGCACATTCATGTGAATTCCACACAATTCAAAGTTACATGAAAGATAATGTTGGTGCTTCAACAGATAATAATTTGTCATTTTCAAAATGATACAATTCAACTAAAGATATGGTGATAGTATGGAGTTTTATAAATTTGATTTCCTAGGTAGAAATCTATTTAGTGTCCTCTGAAATATTACTTTCAGCGCACCAAATTCAAAAGAGTAATTGTATTTATTGAAANAACGCGAGATCGTTTTCCCATCGAAAAATAATTAGCCCTGAAATGGGTTTGCGGTCGACCGCTCTCCACCTGCTCCACATCAAATCTGATATTGATGGTAGACTTTATGTAGGTAACTGGAGGTCATTATTCATTGTTTATGGAACGGAACCTGCTATTAGTTTGAAAAGATAACTGGGGGCGATGGCAGATAGAATCGGTATCGATTTTTGGTGTACAATACGTCGTAAACGAGTTTGATTACTTTATTTTGAGAGTACCTATAGCAAATCTACGCTAGAAACACGACTGGTATTTTACGATGCCAAAAAATGTTTATTATGCCATGCTTGACGTAAAATAACCAAAATGTTATACTCCATTCATATTTGATTATTATGAATATAAGACTATATCTTATGGGTTAGGATTGAAATAAAGCAATGTGTTGCTGAAATGAAAGTTTTATTCACTTACTTATCAAAGAAAACATTTTATTAACACTTTATTTTGGAAAAAAATCTGTTTGTTTTTCAACAATAACTTCCATACCGTTCTTATAATAATGTTACGTTTTTACCCGAGGGTTGACCAATAATTGACTACACTGAATTATCAAACTTAACTTGATTTCACTTCAAATACAACGAACACTTTAACAAAACTTCAGCTATTATTCGAATGTCCATCGCCTCACTAAATCTCTTCGCGTAGGTTCCTCATTGTAACGTCCACTTGACTGTGTCGATATGCTCGCAGCTAGCGTTTAAAATCGTAATCGAATGTCGTAGAAATTTCGCCGAAGTTCTGTCGAAGCCGGTAGCGTTATTCTCGCTGCTTCTCGAGTGGCGGGGAATTATCGTACATTCGCGCGTTCTTAGCTACGTCACCATTGGTTAATGGTTACCAGTGACGGCCGGCGTTATTTTCTTTCGGGCATGATTTACAACGCTAACCTCTTCCCTGGGGTTGGTCGCCCCAGTAAGGACTTAGCCTCCCTATGTGGGCTTGCTTCTAGATGACAGTTGGATTCTGTACACCAGATCGTTTATCTTTTTGGTTACCGAGTGAGGTCCTTGCCATAGTCTCTGCAACTTTGGACACATATCTTTCCGACGTTGGGGTTGGTAGAGCCACACTGAGTCACCTCCTTAAAGCTCACTGGCAGCGACTTTTTGTCAAATCTTATTTTCATCCTGTCGCTGGAAAGCTGTAATTTGGTCCTGGCAAATTCGTGTACAATTTCCAGTCTCTCCTTCGGGTCACATACTCTGAAAGAGGTACCTGTTGAGATTCATCGAAAGGATTGTCATACATCTATCGAAAGCTTCAGTTCCCTACCAGATAAAAACATGGATGGTATATAACCTGCCGCGTCATGTTGGGAGCTCCTATATGTCAACAGAAATAGAGGAACCAATTGACTCCAGTCTCTTTGGTTTTCAGTTCAGTTTTTGGTTTTCCATCGGATTGTTGGTGAAGATCAGTTCTTGTCTTCTTTATTCCCAACAGAGTCATCATTTCCTTCCATAAATACGATTCGAAGTTGCGGCCCGAGTGTAGTTCTCTGGGTACTCCGTGTCTTTCAATTACGTTCTGGAACAGGGTTTCTGCTACCTTTTTACCCTCTTGGTTGGGTAAGGCTACTACTTCAGGCCATTTGAAAAAGTAGTCCATTACAACCATGAGGTACTTGTTACTGGATGTAGTAATAGGGAGTGGTCCCAAAATGTCGACTGCGATTCTCTCGAAAGGGCACCCATTGAGGTACTGTTTCAACTTTCCTCTCTGCCTTGTCTTTGGACCCTTTCTCGAAGAGCACAGGTCACAGCGCTTACACCACTCTTCTACGTCTCGACGGCAATTGACCCAATAGTACCTCTCACGCACTCTCTCTAGAATCCCGAAATACCCTTGAACAACTCCAACAAATATCATCGTGGAGATGTTCAAGGATACTCGAGATACTCATCTTAGGAAGGATCATCTGGAATCTGTGGCTTTCCCATTTCCGAGTCATCTCGAATGCTCATGGAGTCCCATTGGAGCTAGTCACCCTTTTCCTGCTGGCTGTGCTTGGAACTCTCTTGCCATTCCGACCTCACTCCTTTGGCAATCCATTCTCGCACAGTTTTCAAGACGGGATCCTTCTTCTGCGCTACGATGATGTCTTGTCTCGTCTGGAAGGTAGTGTCACCCTCGGAGGATATTAAAGGCCGTACCACACCATGGTCAAGTGATTCCTCAAATTGGCTGTCCGTATCCCTGGACAAGGGACCCTTACAGGGTCAGAGGGAATCGGAAGCGGCGGGAGGTAGGGGAGCTTATCTCCATATCAGAGCTGTCCATGAAGGAGGATTGTATAGGATAAGAGTTTTCAGTGGTAAACAAATTACATTACACGGCTCACATTCTCCTGTGGCCTTATTTTTGAATCACGTGGACTGTTCCATCGGGAGAAAAAGCTGAATTACTTTTAAAAGTACAACTAAGAGTGATATCCAATTATTCACTCGATGTGAGAGTTTACCTAACTTGATATATTAGTTCCTCTATAATCGCTATCTCTTCAAAAAGGTGCTGTAGCTTCAAAGTGAAAAAATTGTTTAGAGAATTCGCCTCAAAGGAGAATATTTTGAAAAACACTGTTTGTTCCAGAAATATTTTTGCCTGCTTTTTGTGAATTTTCTATGGTGACCCTATAGCTATTCTGTGTTTCCGAATAAACTCTCCCAAAAAATAAATAAACTGGTAATCGAAGCTGGCCGTGAAATGGAATCGGGTCGTAAAACCGCCCTGTGAATAAATAATCGAGTACCACAAACCCAAATGTCGCCATTAGCAGTTGTTTTAAAATATACAACGTTTCCCTCATAGTAATTCGTGTTGAACCCATTAAGGCGTCTGTATACCGAAATATATACACAAAAACGGTCGTTAAGATCTTTACCGTTTCCTTTTGCAATAAATACGAGACGTTTAGTAATTATTGTTCGAATTTCCTCGTTCGAAATCAACTAACCCGTTTTATTTAATTACTAGGAAATTGAAGATTTACTGAGGAATAGAGATTCTCTTGTTGTTTGCGTTGTTAACTATTCGATTGGTCCGATCGAGTGTACAATGTAGATGTGTTAGTATAGGAAAAATAATTCTCGAAAAAAAAAACAAAATCATGGTATAGGGTTTTCAACATCTGTTTTTATTCGACGTATTGTGAAATTTGAAGTCTAGGTTATTTGCTGAGAACCATGAATTCAACTATTGAAAGTTTTCCATATATTATAATAGAATGACAATGGATTGATTACCTAATGGTCAGTTTATCAACTATTGGCAGCTATTTTGTAAATGAGAGTTGTTTTTCGTCTTCACAATAAACCTGAGAATATTCTAGTAGTAACAAAAGATGGATTCATTAGAGTATATCATAAGTTTTCCGATAGTATGGACCCATGTAGCTCTAATTTGAAAACTGATTACAATAATTTCACGGAATTTTAGGCTGAGTAAAAATATAACCCTTCAAACTATACCCATAAATCTGAATCTCAAACAGTACGATGTATGAGTAATCATAAAATTTCGAAACGAAATTTCAAAGTAGATGTGATAACACTTAGTTGGGTGGACGTTGACAAATACGATTATAAGCAATAAAATTTTGACGCATCCTTGAAGTGATCTCTTTATTATGCAGGTATGTCGACAGTTTTCACTTACTATCTAGAACGGTCACAATCAACAGTCTAAATATGTCGTTTGTCACCCGAAGAATGTGCCAAGTTCCAATAAAACGACAACCGAGTCGAGTTGACTGACACTGAAAAATATTATCACACTCGTTAGTCGCTCGTATCTAATTCAATATCTTAATTTCACTAAGGTGTTGTTCAAACATCTCCACTGAAAAAAATATCGACTCGTTCGAATATGTAGATCTCTTATGTGGTCTCGCCTTTGTATTGTCCTTCTTCTTGTTTGTCAGGTACAACGCTCTCTCTCTCTCTCTCTCTCGGTCTTCTGCGAGGCCAGGTTTGGTGAGACGATCTTCGAAATGTTAATTTGAATAAATATTTATTCTACACGGCTTGTTGGGACATCACCTGAATGAAA